TGTTGGTAGCATCTTCCTTGACAAGCTGCTCAGGGTGGAAGAGCTGGTGGGAGGTATCAGTGCGAACTTCATCAGTAACTGGGCTCCAGGTCTACAAACACTGCCTTGGGCACATGCTTGCCAATACCTATTTCACTGAAGGAGATGTTAAAGGAGTCGTCTCCTCCCTCAATGGTCTTGTCACTGGGCATCTGGCCATTTGGTTGGATGCCATGTTTCAGACAGTAGAGCTCTCAGCAGGCATTGCCAGCTTGGGCTTCAACCTGATCAGTGTGTATGGTAATACACTCATACATGGTTGCTGCTTGTAGTGGAGATGGTGAAGAAGAGAGGTTATTGCTTTTTACAACACAACTCTTAGGTGGTTGATATAAGAGAAACTTGAGGTAGAATTTTTTGAGTGTATCCCATTCCAGCATCCCAGCGCATTTCTTCTCTGTACTTTCTAGCACATTCCATCTTGGAATGGCCCACATCCTACTACTCTTAGTGTGCTGTGTTTTCTGTTACTTTAAGGTGCATGCTGCTCTGAGATCATGAACATTCCAACTCGAGGTATTTAAGTTCTTCATTACTTTACAGCACTCCACTCTGGGGTTGCCCATGACATTCTTTCTCTTTTTCCTTTCTTTATTTTGGTGTTTGGGTTTTTGGGCCACCTCCAGATGTGCTCAGGGGGTGCTCCTGACTCACTATTCAGGTGCCACTTGTGGTGGTGCCCAGAGAACAACACATTTCTGGGGATGAAACCTGGGTCTTGTGCGTAAAAAGCATGCCCTTTGAAATATCTCCCCAGTGTCATGTTTTTCTTTTAAAATTTTATTTTTATAAAGTTGTTCACAATAGTTTATTACAGATAATATTCAAACACCAATCTCACCACCAGGCACCGTCCCACCACCATAAGAGGAAAGTGTGTGAAGATTATTGTATTTCATCCTGGACACACTTAAGCCCTTGTATAAGAGATTACAAACATATATGTTAAACCCAAACAAAAGTATGCTACTTCTGGTACATCAGGGCTAGAGTATAAGAGATTGCACGGCTGCATTTGCGGCTGCACACCCAGGATATTCTGTCATTCTCTTCCAGGAGCTTTATTTCATAGCCTCTGGATTTTGGTTGTTGATGAGATTATATGGCACCAAAAGCAGTTTGTGTGTGTAACTGCCAAGCTACTGGAAAACTGGAGAGCTGACAGGGAGCGGGGAGGAGGCCCAGTCCCATTTCAAGTGAGCTTGGAGATCTCAGTCATGGGTCCCACATACCTTTTTTTTTTCTGCAGGTTCCCCCATAGGTGAAGCTCGTCTGAGCCTGTGGAGGGAGGCCTTGAGCACGGTTGTGTGGTTGGATTCTGGAGGTTTTCAGCTGCTAGGGTTATTCTGGGGTGGGGAGGGAAACTCAACCCGCCCCCCTCCGAGTTGCCCTGGTGAAGACAGCCTGGTGTGGGGTCAGGACGTTCTCAGTGTCATGAGTTTTAACCATATTTCATTTACTTTGGGTCTCCCTTCTCAATCTGGAGAATCCCCATTTTCCTTTCAATTAGTATCTTCCCTCAATAACATTTTATTACTTGAAAAAATATTTTTTTTTCGGGGGGCTGAGGATGTGGCTTATGAGAAAGCTCTTATCCTGCATACATGGTCCTTGGCACCAAAACTTTTTTTTTTAACAAAATAGATGCAAAAATTATTTTCAGAGATTGGATACACAGGATATTAATTACTTAAAGAAGATGAGCTTTATCTTAGATTACTGTCTGCAGTGAGTTTCCAGAATCAGAGAAGTATGAAAGAGATTGGGAGGTCTTCCAGCATTCAGGGAGGCCAGTGTATCCACAGGACTGAATATTGACAGAGGGAAAATGGTTTCAATTGACTCCCACCGATTTTAATTTTTTTCTTTTTGGGTCACACCTGGTGATGCACAGGGGTTACTACTGGCTCTGTACTAGGGGGTTACTCCTGGCGGTGCTCAGGGGACCATATGTGATGCTGGGAATCAAACCCAGGTCGGCTGCATGCAAGGCAAACGCCCTACCCGCTGTGCTATCTCTTCAGCCCCTGATTTTTTTTTTTTAAGATTGTAAATGACTGGGGATATGGCTCAGCAGCACATCACTTGATTTACATGTGTTGAATTCCCAGGTTAAGTCTCTAGCACTGGGGAAGAATTGTAAAAGATTACAGAACAGACAGTCTCTTATGTACCTTATACTTCACCTCCCACAAATAATACAGAACTGGGAGTAAGAATCCCAGGATATGGTTTGGTAGAGGCATTACTAGCTAATAGCTCTGAGTAAATCACTTAATTCTTCCTGATCTGTTATTTGAGAGAGTTTATCAGACTATTCACGATAGAGCAGCAAAGCAAACATTTAAGCAATGAAGCCAAGGTCTCTGAGCCAAAAGTTTATTGGGGGAGGTATCAACCTGGTCAATTTTCTTCTTTTTGACGGTTGGTTATGTCAATAAAACCTGCATTTAAAGGTGTTGAATTCTTTGTGAAAGTGATTGACTTCTTTAGAGTGTAGAAAAGAAGGAGAAAAGAGTGAGTGTGAGAAGAGAGAGGTGATCACTGGTATCGTTTCTCCTGGACTGAAGCTGTGATCTATCCCAATCCTTATTCCTGCACTTGGAAATTAAGGTAAAAATTAAAACATATAATGTGATCTAGGATGAGCAGAAGAGACTTCAGAGTCATATTTATATGACATCTGCTTGAGAATACATTTAATTTTCTGAATTAGTCTTAAGGCCTTATGATAGTAGTCAACAACTCTAAGGTCACTACTGGTTTCCAAGTTCATTTTCCTTACTAAATAATCTTAATTTTCATAATCTCATGAGAAAGCATTAGTTAAGACTAACAGAAGGGGTCCAGTATGGTAAAATGAGTTGTCTAGGATGTGTATTGATACTTGAAGCAGGTGGGTAGATGGGAGCAAGTTTGTGGAGGGAAGTCAAGGGAGGAGAAAAGAAGTTACTCTGATATAAACCTAAAAGACACGAGGGCTGGGAAACCATTGAACTACAGAAAGGAAGTCCCTGAGAATGCTGAACCCTGTGAAAGAAACTTCAACATCAACCAAAGGTCATGATAAGACTATGAAAAAGAATAGCAAAAGTTTCAAGTTCTTTCACTGGACAACCCCCTGAACAAGGAGTCATTTTGTTATTACATAGAAAGCCAAAAGAGGAAGTAGTTTGGGAAATAGTTTGCAAAGGCAAACTTGACTCTCTCTTCTCTGGATAAGCTCCTTTCTCTCTAATATTTTTCCTTCTTTCTTTCTTCTCTGGATAAGCTCCTTTCTCTCTAATATTTTTCCTTCTTTCTTTCCTCCCATATTATTTACTGAATCTCACTTCACAATTTGTCTCCCTCTCAAAAAATATATTCTTTTTGTAAGGGTACAGAAAAGACTGGGGATGGGAGCAGAAGGCAGAGGGCAAGACTGACTTACATTTTGGGCCTTTTTTGGGGGGGGGGTTGTTGTTGTTGTTGTTATTGTTGTTGTTGTTTTCAAAAGAGTAGTTTCTCACTCCAGCCTAAGGATATGGTGCCTTATAATTGGGATGGTAGTGATCATTTTTTGTGATGTATAGATCAAGTGAACCTCAGATGCATATTGATGCCTGTTTATTGGGGAGCAGAAGGGATTTACTGGGCAGGTAAAGAGGGACAGAGTGTCAGAGGGAGAAGGGAGAGTATCTACGGAGAAAATCACCTTGGAATGTTTTTAGAGCATTACATGAAGATGGAGGGCATAAAAGTAGTTGTTGAATAAATTTGAAGAATTATATTCTTCTGTTAATTCCTTTCTCCATCTCCACCAATAACCAGTGCTTCCCTCTATCCATCCTTTTCCTCTGCTTAGAGCCACACCTTGTCTGACCTGGTTGCTTTTGTATCCTAGCAGGCAATGTGAAGATAGGCTTTAAAATGAGCCCATCTCTGCGAACAATTCCTGTGAACCTGATCCTCCAACCCACCAATCAATCGCTGTTCATCCCACCCTCTTTAGAGGGTCTCGAAAGCTGGGCTGGATTTTTGTTACTACTTTACTAAGGAGCCAGCAGGATTCCTGCCACCTTGAGTAAGCAAGGGTCTTGGGGGAGGGCAGGGACTTGATTTATCTAGCTGGCTTCCTGTTCCCATATGCATCTTAGGTTCATCTTTCTTCTGCCTCCCTGTTTGATTTAGAATGAACCCAAACTTTTAGTCTGCATACTGAGCCTACTTCTCCTGTACTTAACGGACTCTCTAGACAGTTCTTGATAGTCCATTTCTACCTCTACTTTTTTACATAAGAGGAAGAAAGAAAGAAACTACTCCAGTACAAACCTAAAAGACATGAAGACTGTACGCAATTTTTAAAAAATTATACAATAGCAGATATTTGTTGACTGACTTCTCAGCAGCCATTGCATTCTAATCACAGGTAGCTCTGCTCTGTTATTTGATAAAAACTTGTTTCACAGTGCTAAGTGCTACATTTTCTGAGTTACCTTTTGCTTTTTACTTGCAGGGTCCCCAGTGAAAAATTCCATGCTGGTCAATGCTTCTCTTGATGTGTCTAGTTGAAATTGCTCAGGAATTTTGTTTGTTTTCTAGCCATGCCTGGAAATGATAAGGGGTTCCTCTTGGCTCTGCACTCAGGAATCACTCCTTGCTGTGCTCAGGAGACCACATAAAATGCTGGGGATTGAACCCCAGTTAGTCGCATGTAAGACAAGCCTATTATTTGCTATACTGTCTCTCCCATCCAGCTGAATAATGTTTAACACTCCTAATAAGTCTGTAACTTTAAAATTAATTCAGGTTATTCAATATTTAACTGGAGAGTTAAATATTCCTCTGCAGGTGAAGTGAAGATGAGCCAATCTCTGGGAACAATTCCTGTGAACCCTACCCTCCAACTCCACCAACCAATTGCTGATAGCTGTTGATCCCGCCTTCTTTAGAGGGTCTCAAGAGCTGAGCTGGATTTTTGTTTGTTCTCTCTTTACTAAGGAGCCAGCAGGAATCCTGCCAACTGGAGTAAGCAAGGGTCTTGGGGGAGGACAGGGACTTAATTTCCTGTTTTTTTTCAAATTTCTTTAATGAACATATTTAGGCCAAATTCAAGTAGCTCTATGCCTGCAATATGACCCTAATATATAGACAACAAAATTTATGTATGTTCAATGAATTGTAATTTAAATGTCTGAAGAGATTACCTCTTATAAAAATCATTTCTTTGGGAAGGAAATTTTTTGGCAAAGCAAAGAACAGTTCAGAATGGACATGACATTGAATGTTTTCTAGTGCTGCTTATAGGTGAGGTCTAGATGTTGGCTTTAGTTACTTGATCTTCTCATTTTGCTTTAAAGCTTTATTTGGAATAATTACATGGATAGTCATTATTCTACACATGGATTATTTTTATTTAAGGATAAGCTCTGGATTAGATGCTCTAAAAACAATTCTTGTTCTTTATTAATAAGGATCTTGAAAGTTGTAAATACATTTTTCACTAATATATTTGGGGTGTGGGTCTTCCCAGATCTCTGCTCTCTCTTATGTTTTCTTTTTACTCAGTCCAGCTCCCCAGACTAACAGGAGTTTCCTTCTGAGACAAAAACAGAGTTGTACCCAAAAGGAGAGAGAGAACAAAAGGGAATGCCCTGCCACAGAGGCACGGTGGGATGGGGGTATGGGGGTGGGAGGGATATTATCCATGGTGGTGGAAAATGGGCACTGGTGGAGGGATGGGTATTTGATCATTGTATAATCGAAACCCAAGCACAAAAAATTGTAAATCTACAACTGTACCTCATGGTGTTTCACTAATAAAAATTAAAAAAAAAAAGCAAAAAAAAAAAACCCAAACAGAGTTGTTCTCCATCTAGGTGCTGAGACCTGAATGAACACTGGGCAAAATTTATTTGAGTTCTTCCTGCTCTTTATTTCTTTTTTTGGTTTGCATCTTTTCTAGCTATTCATCATGGGAAATAGAAGTCTCAGTTGTCATTATTTATCATATAAAATTATGCTTCCAATATTCTAATTTTATATTTTTAAATTCTATTTTAATTTATTTTTGTGGGTTTTATTTTTTGGGGGGCACACCCAGTGGTGCTCAGGACTTAATACTTACTCTGCTTTTTCTGCAAAAATATGTAAAAAAATTCTTCAGGGCCTCTTTAAGACTTTTGATTTTAGAATGACTACTCTTTATAACCATGTTATTATTTGTTTTTCACCCAGGAGAATAGCAGATGGAGCAAACAACTGGAAGTGAATCTGTTGGTATGCCCACGATGAAGGTGGGCATAGAGAACTCTGGAACAGAGCTCTTGGTAATTCTAGTGGTTTCCATACAACTTTGTGGGCTATTGGATGGCTTCGGTGGAGGATCTGGGACTGCTATAATCCAGTCATCACTGGTGGGGGTCCTATCACTCACACCAACTTTCCCTATGCTTCTAGGAAGACGGAATAAATCTGGAGGAAACCAGGAGGACTGTAGAGCAAGGAAACAGCTTTGGGAATGGACTGGGACCTCCCGATCACCATAGGTACAGGTGTTCTATCTGGAGTGGGATTAGTTGGGATCGAAGAGCCAAGAAATGACTGTTATGGTATTTGATTGACAAGGGGTCAGACTCCATTTTCTGGGTGTTTGGGTTCTTATTGAGAAGACTCATCCATATGCTGTAAATACTTGCACACATATATTTTTATGTAATTTTTATATGAATGAAATTATTATATACCCAGTACCATTAATACTGGGAGTTTAGAAATATTAGCTTTGATTGGACTGACCACAAAAATAATAGTTGCCATTTCTTGAGTACTTGCTATGCTACAGGATGTTTTATAATTAATATATTAATATTTCACAGCAATGAGTAGGTACCAATTTTTAACCTTTCCCCCCAAAATTATGAAATTAAGCCATAGAAATGAACTTCTATCTTTTTTTTCTTAAAAACAATTCTTCTGGATTACTCAGATTGAGGGATGGGTAGAAAAGGAAACTAGAAGAGATAGAGAAGGATGCATCATGAGAGGTAATGGAGAAAGTAAAAATGTACATTCTTGGAAGTCAAAGAGAAGGGAGGATGAAGAAGAAAAGCATCGTTCAAAATCTACATGTGACAGGGCCAAGAACTGAAGGTTTATAAAAGTATTTTAGTTTCACCATGGTGGTGGTTGAAGAGTATTACTAGCTAAGTGTATACTTTGAGTAAAAGAGCAAAGGAAATCATATTTTTTTCCCACCAAGTTTCTGAATATTTAGAATCTAGATGCCTAGGAGAAGATAAGAAATAAATTATAAAGGAAATGTGTAACCATGATCCAAAGACGCTCCTGCCAAAAGTGGGTCATTTTTGTTAGCTTTCTCTTTAAGAATTAATTCAGAGAACTCACAGTGAAAGAAGGCCTAATACGTTTAATTCTTTTTTCTTCTCCAGAAAGTCACTTTTATGTACACATTCACATATACTGTCTAATAAAATTGTGGACATGACTACTTCAAAGTTTTGTTTTCCACTTACTTTATGTATCTCATTTTATGCATGACTCTGGAATAGTAATTTTGAGTATTCGTTGATATATTTTTGTTCACCTTTGTGACAAAGACTATGAACTGGTAAACTTTTTATGTAAAGGACCATGTGTAAATATTTTAGACCTTGTGGGCCCTACAGTTTCCACTATTATTGTTCAGATCTACCATTTTAGCAGGAAAGCAACCACCAGTGAGATTCAACAAATGGTATTAGTGGTGTTTTAATTTTTTTGTTTTGTTTTGTTTTTCTTTTTTTGTCTCGGGGATTGAAACCAGAGCCCTACACATATTTATTTGAAAAAATTAAAAACGTATATATTTTTGCAGAGTGGCAGTGTTTAATAAATTTTTTTTATAAAAATATAGTGGACAGACTTTTTTAATAAATATGTACTGGGATTGAAGAGCCAAGAAATGACTGTTATGGTATTTGATTGACAAGGGGTCAGACTCCATTTTCTGGGTGTCTGGGGTCTTATTGAGAAGACTCATCCATATGCTGTCAATATTTGCACACATATATTTTTATGTAATTTTTATATGAATGAAATTATTATATACCCAGTACCGTTAATACTGGGAGTTTAGAAATATTAGCTTTGATTGGACTGACCACAAAAATAATAGTTGCCATTCTTGAGTACTTGCTATGCTAAAGGATGTTTTATAATATATTAAAATTTCACAGCAATGGGTAGGTACCAATCTTTAGCCTTTCCCCCCAAAATTATGAAATTAAGCCATAGAAATGAACTTCTATCTTTTTTTTAAAAAAAATCTTCTGGATTACTCAGATTGAGGGATGGGTAGAAAAGGAAACTAGAAGAGATAGAGAAGGATGCATCATAAGGGTTAATGGAGAAAGTAAAATTGTACATTCTTGGGAGTCAAAGAGAAGAGAGGATGAAGAAGAAAAGCATCATTCAAAATCTACATGTGACAGGGCCAAGAACTGAATCACCACAGGTAGAGGCACAGGTAGAGCCTGGCAAGCTACCTGTGGCATATTCTATATGCCAAAAACACTAATAATAACGGGTCTCATTCCCCTGACCCTGAAAGAGCCTCCAATATGGCAGCGTTGGGAAAGATGAGTAAAGAGAGGCTGCTAAAATCTCAGGGCTGGGACAAATGGAGACATTACTGGTGCCCGCTCGAGTAAATTGATGAACAGTGATACAGTGATACAGTGATTGAATCACCATGACATACAAAGTTACAAAGCTTTCATGATCCAGTTTCAGTTATAAAATGTTCCAACACCCATTCCTCCACTAGAGTACATTTCCCACCATCAATGTCTCTAGTATCCATCTCACCACCCCCACCCCACTGCCTGCTTCTATGGCAGGCACTTTTCTTCTTACTCTCTACTTTGAGGAATTATGGTTTGCAATACAGATACCAAGAAACCATTGTGTTTGGTCCTTATCCACTTTCAGCACACATCTCCATTCCAGAGCGATCCCTCTAATCATCATTGTCATAGTGATCCCTTCTCTATCCCAACTCTCTCTCCCCGAGCAAGCTTGAGGCCGACTTTCAACCATGGTTTAATCCTCCTGGCTCTTGTTTCCTTAGACAATTCTTTTATTTTATTTTTTAATTTTAATTTTTTTCTTTTTGGGTCACACCCAGCAATGCTTAGGGCTTACTCCTGACTCTGTACTCAGGAATTACTTCTGGCATTGCTTGGGGGACCCTGTGAGATGCCAGAGATCAAACCCAGGTCAACCACATGCAAGGCAAATGTCCTACCCGCTGTACTATCACTCCAGCCCAGAATAATCTTTTTAAATTGGGGACACTGGTGCTGGACAATGTACACTGGGGAGGGATGGGTGCTGGAACGCTGTGTAACTGAAACCTAATGAGCAGATTTGTAAGCATCTATTTCACAGTCTCAATTAAAAATTAATTTTTAAAAAGAAAACTCTTTAAAAAATGTTATGTAGTGTTCAGGACCCTCAACTATGCCCGTATGTTACCTCCCATTTGCCATAAAAGTTTCTCCCCTATCTCTGGTTGCACACACTTTGTTGCAGTGTGCTGGAAAGTACATGCTTTGTTGTGGCACCAGGGATCCCAATCAGGAGAGCCACTAGGATCATGTTCTGCACATATGGCCTGGTACCAGGTACTCAGTTCATCCTAGCCTCCATCCATCTCCATCCATCCCTGGGTCCCACGATATATATATATATATATATATATATATATATATATATATATATATTTGTTATTTTTGATGAGTGCCAGTCTCTGTGGTATGATGGGATATATCATTGTTTTGATTTGCATTTCCCTGGTGGTGAGAATATAGAGCATTTTTTCCATATGACTTCTGGTCACTTGTATTTCTATTTTGAGGAATTTTCTGTTCATCTATTCTCTATATTTTTTGATGGGGTTGGATTTTTTTTCTTGTAAAGTTCTACCAGTGTTTTATATATCTTGGATATTAACTCTTTATTGGATGAATGGTGGACAAATAATTTCTTCCAGTCTGTGGGCTGTTTTTGTATTCTGGTCATCATTTCCTTTGGGGTGCAGAAACTTCTTAATGTAGTCCCATTTATTTATCTTTATTTCCACTTGCCCAGTCAGTGGCATTTCGTCCTTAAAGATGCCTCTAACTTCAGTGATCCAGTGTCATGGAGGATTATACCTGTGCTTTCCTAGATTTAGGTCTGATACTGAGGTATTCAATGCATTTTGTTTTGACTTTTCTGCATGGCATTAGAAAGAAGTCTGAGTTTTTATTACTGTTTTTATGCACATGGAAGATTAGTTTTCTCCACTCCACTTATTGAAGAGGATTTGCTCCACGTCACTTTTTTTTTGCTCCTTTATCAAAGATTAGCTGATCATATATCTAAGGGTCTGTCTCTTAATTGGAGAGCCCGGCAAGCTACTTGATATGCCAAACACAGTAACAACAAAGTCTCCAATGGAGACGTTACTGGGCCTGCTCGAGCAAATCGACGATCAACGGGAGGGCCTTTGCTCGAGCTCGAGCAAATCCCATTGATCCATGGGCCTGTCTTTATTCCAGTACCACACTGTTTTAATTACTACTGCTTTGTAGTACAGTTTGAATTTGGAGAAAGTGATGCCTCCTGTCTTCTTTTTCCTGAGGACTGTATTGGCTGTGTGTGTTGCTGTTTGTTTGTTTGTTTTGATTGTTTTGGATCTTTGTGTGTGTGTGTGTGTGTGTGTGTGTGTGTGTGTGTGTGGTTTTTGTTGTTCTGTATGAATTTCAGAATCTTTTGATCATTTCCTTAAAAATGTAATGAGTATCCTTATAGGGATTGCATTGAATCTGTATGCTGATTTGGGGAGGATTCCCATTTTGACCATCTTAATCCTCTCAATCCATGAAGAGGGGATGTGTTTCTATTTCCTCCTTTCCTCTTTTATTTATCAAAGTAGTGTTTTTAGTTTTCCTTGTATAGGTCTTTCATCTCTTTAGTTAAGCCAATTCCTTGAACTTGATTTTCTGAGACACAATTGTTAATGGGATTTAAAAAAAAAATCTCTCCTCTCTCTTCATTATTTGGGTATAGAAAAACCATGGACATTTTTGTGTTGATTTTTATTTTACTATACAAATTTTATTTGTAATAGGTTTTTTTTGTCTTTATGGCTTTCAAAATACAGTATCATGTCATCTGCAAACAGTGAGAGCTTCTATCTGGATACTCTTTTTTTTTCTTTTTGGGTCATAACTGGCAATGCACAGGGGTTACTCCTGGGTCTGCACTCAGGAATTACTCCTGGCAGTGCTCGGAGGACCTTATGGGATGCTGGGAATTGAACCAGGGTTGACTGTGTGCAAGGCAAACACCCTACCCACTGTGCTATTCTCCAGACCCCTATCTGGATGCTCTTAATATCTTTTTCTTGCCTGATTTCTATTGTAAATATGGTACTTCCATTACTATGTTGAATAGAAGTGGTGAGAATGGGAAACTTTGTATTGTTCCTGATCTTAGAGGGAAGACAATTTTTCCTTTTAATTTGGATATGTTTACTGTGGGCTTATGGTAAATCGCTAGGACTATGTTGAGGAAAGTTCCTTCAGTTCCCGTTTTGTTGAAAGATTCTATCATGAAAGGGTGCTGGATCGTGTCAAATGCCTTCTCTGTATCTGTTGATGTGATTATATGATTTTTTCATAATATGTTAAGCTTGCATTTGGTGAATCATCCTGAATTCCTGGGATAAATTCCACTTTGTCATGGTGTCTGATCTTGATGAGTTGCTGGAATTTGATTTGCTAGTATTTTATTGAAGATCTTTGCATCTGTGTTTACCAGGGATATTGGTCTATAATTCTCCTTTTTTGGTGCGGTTTCTGTCTGCTTTTGGTATATGGGTAATACTCTCTTCATATAAAGTGTTTGAGAGTGTCTATTTCTTTGATATCTTGAAAGACCCCCAAAAGGATAGAAAGTAGCGCTTCCTTAAAGAGTAGAAAGAATTCACTAGTGAATCCATCTGGTCCTGAGCTTTTGTTTCAGGAAAGAATTTTGATTGTCATTTCAATTTTGTCGAAGTGACAGGGTCCTTATTTTCGGGTTCTTTCTGCTGTTGGGAGCCACCGTGCTTGCTCCCCCTTTGAGCTCCATCCTCCTGGCCCAAATATTCTTGATGGCTTGGTGGTGTCCTGGCCAGTCATGCCCATATGATTGCTGTTCAGGGTTAGGAGTTTGTGTGGGGTTAGAAATAAGGTGAAATCTCTATCTTAGAAGAATGAATTTTTCACTATGTGGATACTTAGACATATCCAGAACAGGGTAGGAGTAGATTTCTGGAGTTTCCCCAATGTGTACTGTTGGCTATTTCTATGGAACAAGATTACAGACAATATTGCTAGTCAGGACTGAGGAGGATTAATCTAGCTTATTGCTGCTGGGCCAAGGTTGATCTGGACTTCTTGCCATTGTCCAGACACTAATATCCTCATGGAGAAATGATTTACTTCATTCATCAAAAGAAATTTCTTCTCTAGCCAGATAATCTTTAAATCCTAGGAATTGATACAAAAGGGATGTAACATATTTTATCTTAACTTTTGGGTTTTCATTAGTAGGAAGCTACAGCCTTTCACCAGGGCAAGAAGTTTCTACAAAACACATGCTGGCTTATTCAAGAAGATTCTGCAGATCCTGTTGTGTTTGGGTGAGGTGATGAGAATTAATGGATGGGACAGACACAATCATTTTAGGAAATTAAGCTTGTATGTCAAGAGTATTACTGGATGGAAAGAAACCTCACTCTCAAATTGATATAAATTATGGGCTATTTGATATTCAGGTCTTCTGATTACTTGTAGTAATGAGAACTATGAATTATTGAATTGAATCTCCAGGAATAAGTAAGATATAACAATAAACCACTACCTAAAATATACTAAAGCTGGGGATGTCGCTCAGTGATAGAATGCATGTTTCACATATGGGAAGCTCTGGGTTTAATCCCTGGAACCCAAACACACACATCATATATAAACATTTATAAAATATACATGTGAAATATATATTATTTGATAGACATATTTCAAAGAATATAGGTTTGTCTTTTTTTAGTCTTGATTGAATATCAAGACAACAGGACATTTCTTGTCTTTATGAGAGAAACCTATTTTCTTATTTTCTGGTATACCACTAATATCAATGAAATAAAATATTGAAAAAACACAGCAAATCTCCATTTCAAATATATTGCCAGTGTTGAAACATTGTATGACTGAAACCTAATCATGAACAACTTTGTAACTGTGCATCTCATAGTGATTCAATAATTTTAATATATATACACACAAGTGTGTATGTATATATATGTAAATAAATCTTTATGTATAGTAATGTAATGTATAGATCTTTGGCATCATGTTTGAGGACTCTGGATGGTGAGAACTAAAGTTCTATTTAGGGGTGAGTTAGAAAGCTCTGGACTGAGGACCATATAGCTATGTTTTCTATTAGTAGCCCTTTACATAGTTTTGGTCAATAAAAAGGTTAAAATGACTGAAGTTAAATTATTTTTAAAGAATGCATGGCAAATGCTGATCCAATGCATCCCAAGGAATATATCAGATAAAATGGAAGGGAGGAGGAGACAAGTGGCTATACAGTGTTCAGACCAAGTTGAATCTCATTGGAGATCCTTGAGAAGAGCCAGTGAGTCATCCATGTCCTGGCATGAGAGCCTCAGCTCTGTGTGACAATGGGGATTGATGACAAGGTTGGTGGGGAGGATCTTGCTTTAAATGACAGATGTTGTATGAAAACATGTACCCCTGGACACACTGCTTTGCTGACCCTTCTTCTGTACCTTCTCTCTTTAGCTTATGCTGCTTACTTCCTGATAGCCTGCATAATGGATTTCCAAAGGGCCCTGGCCTTGTTTGTCCTTACCTGTTTTGTGCTCTTGGTCCTGGTTCACCACTACCTGAAAAAGTTCTTTGGTAAAAAAATAACTTGTTCTCTGAAGCCCTTTAAAAACCCCTGCCTGAAGCTTTGGATGAAACGGTGAGTAATGACTGGTTGAAATGTTGCACAAAATAAGCCCTTCAGTTTTTCCTGGTTCCACAATGTGTCAAAACCCCAGTCAAGCTCTCTTCTCTTTTGATCTTTTTTTGACAGTCCTCCAGTGTCTTTAATACCCTCACCTACACTCTTCAATAACCAGGACTCAGAGAGTAGATAGTAACGGTCTCTGTGTACTGGACTTTAATCTAGTTTCCTGTACCATGCTCTCAATATTGCAGCAGCTAGGCGGGATTAAGTGTTAGACAGTATTTCTGACTATTTATTGTTAGGGCTCATGCCATAAATGAGGAAAACAAAAATATTCTCCTTTTCCATAAAGTAGTAAACGAGAGGACTTATAGCTGAGGCCACATGTCAATCAACTTCTCCCTGACTAATCTTGTGCTTCCTCCTGCCCCCTTCTAATCTCAGAACCTCTCTGTTCTTAACTGGTGTTTTGAGCAGTTTCTTAGAGTTTAAGAGTAAATGGAGTCTCATTCTGTAGCAGCCACAGATCATCTAACTCTGGCATGTCATGTGTCCTTTTAGCACGGGTTTGGAATGAGAAAATAACTTTCATTAAAAATCCCATTTCTCTGTCTGGTCTTCTCTGGATGCACAGAAAAATAGGTATTAATGAGATTTGTATCAGCAATAATTTGAAGAGACACCAAAATTTGGTGTGAATTAGGATGTAGAGCTGACAGACTTTGTTAGGAAGGTAGATTCTCTAAGTAGAGTTTATTTACTTTAATAAACATGAATTTACAGTGAAAACTTACCTGTAAATTAAGTTTTATGCCTTTTGTTGTTATCTCCATGGATGGACAATGTGCTTTGTTTTTCTCAGTGACTGCCCTTCTAATCTTTTCCCTTGGTCTAAAATGACTCCAGCATTTAAGCTTGAGGAGAACGTTCATGTACTGATCACGTTTGCTGGATACATGAGGGACCATAAAATTATGGGTGGAGGCAGTTGATTTGTGGCTTAATCTTTATTGTTTTTCTTGTAGATAGTGGTTGGAAATTGCACAGGGATCCATGGAGGACCAAAACATACTTTTTTTTAAATCTTTGTTTATTTTTTTTACTTTTCAGTTGAATCATTCTGAGATACAGTTAGAGTTGTACGTGACTGGATTTCAGTCATACAATGTCCCAATACCCATCCCTTCATTAGTGTACATTTCCCACCAAAAGTGTCCCCAGTTTCCTTACCATCAATGCCTTTTCTGCCCTGCCCCACAGCCTGCCTCCGTGGCAGGCACTTTTCTTTGAATCAAAGCAAACTTTTGACCTATTTTTAATAATTTGATTGTTCATTGGTAAAGTGTTCAAGAATAAAATTTCGTATGACATTTTGCTGGTGTGGAATCTTGAGGAAAGGAAGCCATCTAATTTACATGTTTAGATTGACCTTTTTCCATTTATTTCTGTAAGTAAAAGAATTGGAGGGGCCAGAGAGATTGTGTAGTAGGTAAAATGCTTGCTTTGGTCGTGGTTGACCTGAGTTCAATCCCCAGCACCCTGCATGGTCCTCTGAAGCTACCTGGAGTAAGCCCTGAATACTTCTGGGACTGGTTCAAACTCTACCATCCAAACAAGTAGGGGAGAAGGTTGGTTGCTAAAGAATTCATCACAAATGATTCTCAAGATATGTCTTGTGTCTCATTTACAATAAAAAATTGAGTTCCTTAGTTTATACTTGGGGTGAATTCTTAAGTTTTTTTTTTTTTGCTTTTTTTTGGGTCACACTTGGCAATGCTCAGGGGTTATTTCTGGCTTTTAACTCAGAAATTACTCCTGGTGGTGCTTGGGGGACCATATGGGATGCTGGTAATTGAACCCAGGCTGTCCGTGTGCAAGGCAAATGTCCTACCTGCTGTACTATTGCTCCAGCCCTGTTTTTTCTTTGGTTTTAAATTTTTAAAAAATTTATTAAATAACTGAGACTTACAAAGTTAATGATAGTTGAGTTTTAGATATAAAGTGTTCTCACATCAGTCCCACCACTAGAGTCAACTTTTTTTCACCAGTGTGCCTACGTTCCCCCCCCCCCCCCCCCCGCCAGCGTGCCCCCTTGATGGTTACATTTTTGAATTGGTTTTTATAGTTTGCATCTCATGTTGTCAGTGTTGTTGACTCTCTAGTTTGGATATATAGCTGTGGTACTCTTCTAAACCAACTTATGTCTCTATTCATTATTACATTCATTCCATGATTTTGATATTCCCTCCTCAGGGTGTTCGCAGGAATTGCTTTGATTGGCCTTATCCTGTGGTTGGCCCTAGACACAGCCCGAAGGCCAGAACAGCTGATCTCCTTCGCAGGAATCTGCATGTTTGTTCTCATCCTCTTTGCCTGCTCCAGACACCACAGTGCAGTGAGTCTGGTTACTTGGGTTGGGCAGAGTATTCAACCTGGGACCACATGTTACTAATTAAAGCCCACATGTATCAAGCATTGATTAACAGGTCATAGAACTAAGTTCTTAACAATTTCTGAAACTGCCTCCTTGACAGTTTTGCTCCTAACCCAAGTTTTTAAGTTCTCAGTGGCCCTTTAACACTATATATCTGATCAATAAAGAGTTTTGATATTAAGTTTTTGAACCTGGGCCAGTGTAAAGAAACAAAAAAGGGAAGAAAATAGAATTCACTAGAGAATAAACTTCTATTGCACATATAATATTAAAACTTTGATTTATGACACATACATGTATATATGTATACCATCAAATTTGTAGACATAGTTATAGAAAGCTGATGAAAAAATATGGCTTTCACATATTACTGTCTTGTTTTCTCTACTTCTACTCTATCTTAACCTAGATTTATTGTTAATATCCCAGGAAGAGTCCTCACATACCCTTACAAACAGATTTTGAAATAATGCTCTTGTCCCCTGCCCATTTTTTAATTGAAGCATCATTATTTAGAATATAATTAATGATAATTTCATGCATACATAATTCTAACACTGTATCCATCGTCAGTGTCCCTCCACCAGTGTTCCATAGGCCTCTCCAATTCACCTCTCTACCCTAAATAAGCACAGTTCTGTAGCTCAATTCTCCAGTTCTGTTGCCTTTGACCAGTTGTTGCTCTCATTATGTATCTTTATTTTTTTTCCCCAGAGATTGTTTCAATGGTCTTTTTTTTTTAACTCAGAAAATCCTTTTGATTTATTTTGTGCTTAATTTTCAAATGTTTGACTTTTCCCGTCAGTTCTGTTTGTGAATTAATTTCAGTTTTTAAAGCACCATGATCTGAGAGGATAGTTAATACAGTTTCCATCTTCTTGTTTTATGGTGTATGTCTTGTGATCCAGCATATGGTCTATCTTGGAGAACAACACATGTGCCCTACATAATAATGCGTATTCAACATTTTGAGGAACAGAGAGCCCTTTATGTGACTTTTAGACCCATCTATTCCATTTCTTCTTCAAGGCTTTTTTTTACTTGTTGACTTTTTGCCTAGTAGTGATCTATCCAGGAGTAATACAGGGGTGTTAAAGTTTTCTACTACTATTGTGTTGTTGTCAATAGCTTTTTTTTTTCTTTTTTTTATTAGTGAAAAACCATGAGGTACAGTTATAGGCTTACAAATTTTGTGCTTGGGTTTCAGTTATACAATGATCAAGTCCCCATACCTCCACCAGTGCCCGTCATCCATCCCCATGGGTCCCAGCATCCCCCCCCCCTCATCCCCCCCCCCCGTCCCATCCTGCCTCTGTGGCAGGGTATTCCCCCTTGTTCTCTCTCTCTTCTTTTGGGTACTGTGTTTTGCAAGAGAGGCACTGAGTGGCAATCATGTTTGGTCTATAGACTACTTTTAGCATGCTTCTCCCACCCTGGGAGGGCCCTCACAACACCCTTCATTTGGTACTCTCTTCTCTATCTGAGCTTCCTTTTCACCTAGAGCCTGTGGCTGGCCTTCCATTCATGGAGCAAAATTCCTGGTACTAATCTCAGCCATTCCTGTGTGTCACTCTCCCTTTTTGTTGCTTTATGTTCCCCAGATGAATGCAATCTTTCTGTGTCTATCCCGCTCTTTCTGACTCATTTCGCTTAACATGATACTTTCCATGTAGTACCACTTGTATGTAAATTTCATAACTTCATCTTTTCTAACAGCTACATAGTACTCCATTGTGTAAATGTACCAAAGTTTCTTTAACCAGTCATCTGTTCTTGGGCACTCAGGTTTTTTCCAGATTCTGGCTATTGTAAAGAGTGCTGCAATGAACAAACAATTGCAGATGTCACTTCGACTATACCTTTTTGCCTCTCTGGGATATATTCCCAGGAGTGCTTTAGCTGGGTCAAATGGCAGATCAAATTCTAATTTTTTGAGAGTCGTCCATACTGTTTTCCAAAAGGGTTGGACCAGCCGGCATTCCCACCAGCAGTGAAGGAGAGTCCCATTCACAATTGTGCCCCAGAAAATCAAGTATCTAGGAATCAGCTTAACTAAGGAAGTAAAGGACCTGTACAAGGAAAACTACAAAACGCTACTTCAGGAAATAAAAGAGGACACGAGGAAATGGAAAAATATCCCCTGTTCATGGATGGGGAGAATCAACATCATCAAAATGGCAATACTTCCCAAAGCACTATACAAATTCAATGCAATCCCTATAAGGATACCCATGACATTCTTCAAAGAAATGGAGCAAACACTCCTGAAATTTATATGGAACAATAAGCCCCCACGAATAGCTAAAGCAATTCTTGGGAAAAAGAAAATGGGAGGAATCAACCTCCCTAACTTCAAACTCTACTACAAGGCAGTAATAATTAAAACAGCATGGTACTGGAACAAAAGCAGAGCTGCAGACCAATGGAACAGAGTTGAATATACTGACATTTCCTCCCAAACATATAATCATCTAATTTTTGATAAGGGGGCAAGAAAAGTGAAATGGAGCAGGGAAAGCCTCTTCAACAAACTGTGCTGGCAAAATTGGACGGCTACATGCAAAAAAGTGGGCTCAGATCTCTGCCTAACACCATGCACAAAAGTAAGATCAAAATGGATTTATGACCTCAACATCAGACCAGAATCCATAATGTTTATTGAAGACAAAGTCGGCAAAACTCTCCATGATATTGAAGCTAATGGTATCTTCAAAGATGTCACGCCACTGGCCGAGCAAGTGAAAACAGAGATAGACAAATGGGACTATCTTAAACTAAGAAGCTTCTGCACCTCCAAAGAAACAGTGACCAAAATACAAAGACAGCCTACAGAATGGGAAAGGATATTCACCAAGTACACATCCGACAAGGGGTTGATATCAAGGATATACAAGGTACTGGTTAAACTCCACAAGAAGAAATCAACCAACCCCATCAAAAAATGGGGTGAGGAAATGAACAGAAACTTTCGCAAAGAAGAAATTCGAATGGCAAAAAGGCACATGAGAAAATGCTCTACATCACTAATCATCAGAGAGATGCAGATCAAAACCACAATGAGATATCATTTCACACCACAGAGACTGGCCCACATCCACAAGAACAAAAGCAACCGGTGCTGGCGCGGATGTGGCGAGAAAGGGACCCTCCTTCACTGCTGGTGGGAATGCCGGCTGGTCCAACCCTTTTGGAAAATAGCTTTTCATTGGGTCTATTAACAATTGTTTTAAATATTTTGATGGTCTATTCTATACTATTCTTACTGGTTACAGGTGTCCTGGAGGACAGTGCTTTGGGGCCTGGGTCTTCAGTTTGTCCTTGGGATTTTGGTCATTAGAACTGATGTTGGATTTAATGCATTTCAATGGCTGGGAGACCAGGTTCAGGTATGAGAAGTTAAATATGTTAAATATGTAACAGAGAAAGGAGGTTTGGGGGAAGGATGAAAAGAATGACTGCATTTTCTTAATTCAAATTGTGATGGGAGATCTTGTGGGAAAGCAGAGAGTGTACTGGAGTACACGTAAGCATATGAACAAGAGGACTGTTGCTGAGTACTGTTATTTAATGAACAGCTCACGCAGACAGCCTGTTCTCAAGCTGTCCTTGGGATGCCAACCTAGTTGCTGTTGAAGGTCCTTATTACTTATTTGCTTGGTTTCATTTTTTCTTATGTCCTTTCTGACTTCATTCTTATTTTCTCCCTTTCTTTTTCTTTCTTTTTTTTTTTTTGTCTCCAGATTTTCCTGAACTACACTGTGGAGGGCTCCAGTTTTGTCTTTGGTGACGTGCTGGTCAAGGATGTCTTTGCTTTTCAGGTTATATTTATATTATGGGCAGAAATGAAGTCAATCTTAGGGGAGGTGTAAAACAGAGAGCAATCCCCCCAGGACCTATAAAAGAAAAAATATAGGATTATCATTTTCATCTTGATGTTGATAGAGGGCTTGGGGAAGAAGGATTGGAGAATACTTCATTGTGGATTAATAATGAATTTCTATATCTTTAAAATGTATCTCTAAACTTGTTTGTGTTTAAAAATCCACTGAGTCTCTACATTGTATTAGCTTCTCTTGGGATACTGAAGCTTAATTTAGAGGCCTAAAACCCAAAACCAAGTATGCCCTGAGTATGTGATTGCATTCACTGTGAAGTCTTAGCTTTTTTTCCATCACTCTTTTTACAGTCCTTACCAATTATCATTTTCTTTGGATGTGTGATGTCCATTCTCTACTACCTGGGCCTTGTTCAGTGGGTAATCCAGAAGGTGAGTCATTCTTCTCTAACGGTTAGGAGATGGGCTTTCATCTTGTGATCTGTCAAGAGACATGAAGATCACACTTCCTTTAGGGAAATGCATATGTGTAGCATTTAGAGCATTGAAACCAATGTGAAGAAGCAAATCCTTTCAAGAATGCCTAATATCAGACCATTAATTAGGCATAGGTTCTAGGCAGGCTGAGAAGCAGAGGAGAAAATGAATTCAGCCATCATTTCACCCTGAGCTTTTATGTACTTGTTCTGGATGCTAACAAGTCTGAGTTCTGATCCAGGCTTGGTGGTAACTAGCTTTATGGCCTCTGGTTTGTCACAATAGTGCTCTGGGTCTCAGTTTCCTTACCAGTAATGTGGAGGAGAGATTTTACCAAGTACTCTTTAATTTTCCTGTGACTGTTAGTGACTTAAATCTTTGTGTCTCTTTAGGTTGCCTGGTTTTTGCAAATCACCATGGGCACTACTGCCACAGAGACCTTGGCTGTGGCAGGAAACATCTTTGTGGGTATGGTAAGCACCCTGCAGCCTTCTGGTCTTCTCTCTGGGGAGCAGAGCATGTGTCAGAAAACAGAAAAATATGAGTTTCTGCTGAAAAATCAGACAAATGAAGAGTGCACAGGCAACCAATGATTAAAGAAAACTCAGAAACACAAAGAGAACTCAGATTTTTGTTTCTTATTCTCTTTTTAAAGTTTTTTTTTTTTGGTTTGTTTTCAATGTCAGGTATCAAACCCAGGACATCACCCATGCAAGTAAAGCTTAACTACTCTATTGCTGAGTTTTATATCCAGCCTGGAACTCAGCTCATTACTTTCACTTTTCATGCCTACTAATACTTACCTAAGCCAACTTAATTTGGGATACTTAGTCATTGGTAAAATTTCTTACATAAGAATTTAGGGGAAGGGTTGGAGTGGTAGTACAGTGGGTAGGGGATTTGCCTTGAACGTGGCTGACCCGAGTTTGATTCCCAGCATCCCAAATGGTCCCCCGAGCACTGCCAGGAGTAATTCCGGAGTTCATGAGTCAGGAGTAACTCCTGTGCATCACTGGTGAACACCCCCCAAAAAATAATTTAGGGGAAATCTTATTCTCCAGGGGCTCTGAATACTGCTTGCTGTATATTCTAATTTCTCCCTGTGACCCTTGTTTTCATGGAGGCAAAGCTTAAGGATAACAACAACTTTCCTACCCACAAAAATTGTTTGATGCATTTGTCTGTACAAAGTAGGTACTCAATATGTGCTGTGAATGATCAGCTCAAAGTTAAGGACAATGACTTGTCGTATTGCCTAGGAATCTTTCCTTCTGGAAGCCTTATGTGATTAACTGCTTGTGATATGTTCTCAGAATACTTCTGCATATTGTTACCATAGCACTCTACATTCTGCTATAATTACGCATAATCATCTTTGTTTCCTCTGCTAAGCTGTAAGTTAAAAAGGACAGGAATTTTGAATTATTCTTATTAATAGCCTTAGCACATAGGAACACAGGGGGTCCATTTTTTATGATTATTTATTTATTTTTAATGTAGGACTATTGCTATTTATTCAGTCATTGATTAAGCTGACTGAACCAGGCATGAACTCCACAGTACTTTTTTTTTTTGCTTTTTTTGGTCACACCCAGCGATGCTCCGGGGTTACTCCTGGCTCCACACTGAGAAATCACTCCTGGCGGTGCTTGGGGGACCATATGGGATGCTGGGGATCAAACCCAGGTTGACCACGTACAAGGCAAATGCCCTAACCTCTATACTATCACTCCAGTCCTGCACATTACTTAAAAATTTTTTTATTGAATATTTTGTGAGATAGACCAAAAACTGTTCATGATTGGATTTCAGTCATACAATGATCCACTACCTATCCTCCATTTCCCATCACCAGTCTCTCTCATTTCCTTCCCCCAACACTGCATCCCCCAACCCCAGCCTTCCTCTATTTTTGTGCCATATGGTTTGCAATACAGGTATTAAGAGTTCATCATATTTGTTCAGGACATCCAATATTTTTATTGGGATGGTAATGTTGGAGTAGCTTTTTAACTGAATTGCAGCTTTGAGGTGTGGACATGACTGCCCTAGACTTGCAGAAGTACAGGGAAGTAGGGGGAGGTAACCCATCCTGACTCCAAGAAAGCCTTGGAGATTTCAGTCACAAAACCTGCATACCCAAATTTTCAGCAAATTATATCTCGGTTAGGTCTGTCCTGAGACGGTGGGATCAGGATGGGGACATGGCAGTGCTTTTGGATTGTGGAGGCAAGTGGCTGCCAGGGGCTCTGCTTAGGCAGGAACCAGGCTAACAAGGGTCCCATTTTAATGGTCAGCACCAATATTTTAGATTGCTACTGATATAATTTTTATAGCTGGATCTTTATAACTTCATAACATTCTCTTTCTCTCTCTTCAGACTTTTGGGCTACATCCCTCTATCCTCAGGAGCTACTTCTAGCTCTATGCTCAAGGATCACTGGCAGTAGTGCTGCAGGGATCAAACCCAGGCCTCCCCCATGCAATCAATGCCTGTGCTCCAGCACTTTCAACCTTCTTCCCAGACCCACAAATATTCTTCCTTATGATTATTTTGTTAACCTTGTCCTTAGTCATCTATCTGTAATTTATTTAACGAGTGATTTTAAAGCAATTAATATGCACTCACTCAGTAAGTGCACCATATTCCATAAGGTCATTCTTAAATGTAAAGGTCTAACATTGAGAACATGTGGAAGAAATATATACCAGTACTCTTCAATAGATTTGGGGTTTACTTTTTGTTGTTGTCGTTTGTTTGGTTTGGCTAGTGGAACACACCTGTAGTGCTCAGGGACTATTCTGGCTTTGTTCTTGGGGATCAGTGCTGTTTCAAAGGATCACATACTTATTTGAAAAACATGCCCTCAGTCCTTGAGCTCATTCTCCTGCTGAGCAGAGACTGGAAGATAGCTGGAAGGGCTGCTATCTTGAAGGGTGATCATGAAGGCTTCAGCATGCAAGCTTTGACTGCTGGAGGCCTAGATCCAATTCCTGGTATTGGTCCTCCAGGTACTTCCAGGAGCAACCCCAAGCACCCAGGGGAGCAGACACCCAATTATGGGCTGAACATTACCTGAGCACCACTGAGAAAACAAAAATAATTAAAAGGCCAGGATATATCACAAAGGTGTGGTGCATATACTTGCAAACGCAAGACCACCAGTTTGATGTCCAGCACTGCATGGCCTTTCCCTGCCCTGGTGCTTCTGGGTTTGGCCCTCATGTCCCTTAGCACCCAGGTGAAGGCTTCCTGCATTGCATGGTAAGAGTATTAAACCATCAGACATGAAGAATAGCCTGGAGTAGCCCCGCAGCTCGGAGCACTGATGGGGAAGGTCCCCCAAAGTAAGCATAATAAAAATTAAGGTTTTAAATATATGAAAGTAACATGAGGGGCCGTAGTGATAGTACAGTGAGTTGCCTTGCACATGGCCTACTGAGTTCAATCCCAGGCAACCCATATGGTTCCCTGAGTACTATCAAGAGCAATTCCTGAGTGCCGACACAGGAATAACCCCTGAGCATCATCCGGTGTGACCCAGAAACAAACAACAACAATAAAAACCAAAAAAGAAAATAAAAAAAGAAAAAAGGAAATAAAAAACCTATAAAGAGCACAGATGCGAACAGTGTCAGGCAGAATGTGACTAGGTTCCAGACAGAGTGAGGGAGACACTAGGAAGACTTGGGAGGAGGGCTTGGGCCTGGGAGGACAGTCTCACTGGAGAACTGTATCCTGGAATCCATGGGGAGCACTCTTGGGTGAGGAAGTTACGTCCTCTTTGATCTGACATACTTCTTGTTTATAGACAGAGGTACCTCTGCTTATCAGGCCATACTTGGCAGACCTGACAGTCTCTGAAATCCATGCAGTGATGACAGGAGGTTTTGCCACCATTTCTGGCACTGTGTTGGGAGCCTTCATATCCTTTGGGGTGAGTATAACTCTGGAGGAGAGGGAGTTGGGGCGCCTCCCCAACTGATCCCAAGTTACTGATCCCAAGGCTGGCCTTTCAGATTGATGCGTCATCCTTGATTTCTGCCTCTGTGATGGCTGCCCCTTCTGCTCTCGCCTTATCAAAGCTGGTATATCCAGAAGTGGAGGAGTCCAAGTTCAAGAATAAGGAGGGGGTAAAACTACCTCGTGGGTGAGTCCAATGAGCCAGAGAATTTGGGAGCTTCAGAAGTCAGATGCAGAGTAAAAAGGTGGCAAAAACTAAGATACCTAGAGAAAGAATAATCTGATTCCATGTCCTTTTTTGCCTGCCTCTAACTAATCATGTTGATTTGCTTCTTTCACCGAATCCCCCCCGCCACCTCAATCTCTGCATGTGATGTCTCTGCATGTGATATGCTCTTCTTGTCAGTGCAACTTAATGGTAATTATGTCACTAATTTCTACCAAGAGCCATTAAGGAACCTCACTTTGTGCCTTTTTGAACCATTGGGAACAATAGGATTTCTCCTCTTCTAGGTATTGAGACCTACTGAAGACAACATATTCTTCATCTGTCTCCAATTCCCACAGGAAGGAGAAGAATGTCCTGGAAGCTGCCAGCAATGGAGCCTCAGATGCTATAGGCCTTGCTGCTAATGTAGCAGCCAATCTGATTGCCTTTTTGGCTGTGTTGGCCTTCATCAATGCTGCCCTATCCTGGCTAGGGCAATTGGTAGACATTGAGGGACTGACTTTCCAGGTAAAGGATTACATTTGTTGGTCTGATTTCTTGGGTATGTTTAAGTAGTCCTTGAACTGTACATGTTTTCTTGACCCACAGAGATAGGAGAAGAGGGGAGGAGGGGCAAAGACAGGGTGCAGAGAAACTCCTGGCCTGGGTTTTATGTTCTTCCTTATTGTGGGATATATCTTTCACACAGGTGATCTGTTCCTACATCTTAAGGCCCATGGTCTTCATGATGGGTGTAGACTGGGCAGACTGTCCAGTGGTAGCTGAGTTGGTGGGGATCAAGTTCTTCATCAATGAGTTTGTGGCCTATCAGAAACTATCTGAATACAAGAATAGACGTCTTTCTGGAATAGAAGAGTGGCTCAACGGTCAGAAACAGTGGATTTCTGTAAGTGACCATCCAGAAAAACAATCTCTGTGCAGACAGAAAGTGTTACACAAATTTTTGTTTCATACCTACAGACACCTTACTTTTGTAGTTAGGCCAGTCCTAACTACAAAACAAGACTAATAGTGTTCTTAGCCTAGAGTCAGCTGCATTGAGGTCTGTGTTTATTGTCCACAACCATACCCACAACACCCACCCCCACTCCCTATACTTTTCTCTCCTGCCACATTCACCAGATTTCTCTATAATGTAATCGTAATCTTTATAGTTGGGGTAGTCCAAGGAAGACACTTTTTATGATAGTTTAAGTATCCTTCTGGGACTAGAGAGATAGTATAGGAATTAAGGTGCTTGCCTTGCTTGTGGCTGAATTTAATTTGATCCTGGAACCACCATAAAAAATTCCTGAACACCCATGGCATGGCACCAAACCCCCTTCTTCATGTAAAGGTAAAGGTAAAGGCCCTCCCGTTGATCGTCGATTTGCTTGAGCGGGCCCAGTAACGTCTCCATTGGAGACTTTGTTGTTACTGTGTCTGGCATATCGAATACTCTCGGTAGCTTGCCGGGCTCTCTGAGAGGGGCGGAGGAATCGAACTCGGGTTGGCCATGTTGGCCGCTTGTAAGGCGAACGCCCTACCCGCTGTGCTATCGCTCCAGCCCCTTCTTCATGTATTAACTTACATTTCTAGAAGTTAAAGTTCCCTCTCTGTCTCTCTCCACTCTCTATCATAGGCTTTCTGATCTCCTCATACTCAGGTCTTCTTATTCCCTGGCTTCAACAAAGGGACAGTGTTGGATGAAGAGGCCCATGGTGGCTCCACATCTTTATCTCTGTCATTACTCAGAGTGTGGTTCTTTCTGTGCTTTCTTGACATAGTCATTAGAGCAGTGTGGACAAGAATCCTGGCTTCTAAATGTAAACCTCTTTCCTTTTTTTGATATTATGGTCAAACCTGGCAGTGCTAAGGGCTTACTTCTGACTCTGTGCTCAGGTACCATATTGGATCTGGGGGTCAAACCCGGGTCATTTGCAAGGCAAGCACCCTACACACTGTATTACTGTACTATCATTCTACCCCTTCTAAATGTAATTTTATACTCTTATTATAGGACTGCACACACAAAACTAAGTTCATTTACTTGTTTATTTTTGTTTTCCCTAGGTGAGAGCTGAAATCATCGCAACGTTTTCACTCTGTGGGTTTGCCAATCTTAGTTCCATAGGAATCACACTAGGGGGCTTGAGTAAGTTTATTTCCCCACGTTTTTAACGCACAGATTTCATTTTCTGAAGTTGGCATTCCCGAGTATGTTTTTGTTAAGTTGAGCCCTGATAGAGAAGTTTGTGTGCAGTGGGCATTCTCAGGCAGCAGTCAATGTGCAGACAACTATGCTGTTTGGCTGTGTGTGGAGTCCAGGAATTTCAACTTCCAGTTAATTAGTAATGATATGATTTAAATTTTGCCAGTGGACGGGGTATAAAGTATAAATAAGTAAAGGTGCTTTACTTGGTAGTAGAGGTCATTTTAAAAATTAGATTGCTTGCTGCTTCCAGGTTCTTCAATAGATGTAGGAGTTGGACAAGAAATGAAAAGACAACTAAAAGCAGCAGATACATACATCAGGCATGACTTTAGTAAGATAAAGTGTTAGGTTAAAATCTGAATGTCACTAACAGTGGGAAGAATGAGATTGGAAACAGATAAAGCTACATTTAGACTGCTGAAGATGTTACTGAATATAAGTGCTGGGGGACAAAGTAATATGGGAAAAGTGAAATTTATTTTGAGGACTGTAGCAGGGAGAATCACCACAGCAAATTCTAAGAGTTTGTAAGAATCAAGTTAAAGGTGTTAAAGTTGTTATACAAGAATTAGAGAGAGTATATAGTGAGTAAGGCTCTCACCTTGCACAAGGCCAACCTGGGTTAGATTCCCAGCACCCCATGTGGTACCTGAACCCCATAAGAATGATCCCTGAGCACAGAGGGATCACCAAAACAAAAAAAAAACCAAATACATCTCAGTGTTGCCATTATGTTGTGATACTTGTATTTTAGGTAAGAATCATTAAATTATTTGGTAGTTGTTAGAACAATGTAAATGTGAATAAGTGTAGTTTATTTTTTCCTCTTCTGTTACCTATTTGTTTGTAATGTATAAAGTTGTTGTCTGACTATGCTATGATAGTATAACTGCTCTGTAGTAAGGGCTCAGACATCATGTAGTTAAGACTTAAGTGAATGTTTCCCTTCCAATCCCTCAGGCTGAAAATAGTCTAATTGTGGTCTGGATTTAAGAGTGAAGATCTTTGGACAATGGGAGTATCATATTGAGTGAAATTAATCAGAGAGAGAGGGGGACAGATATAGAAAGATTGCATTCATTTGTGGGATATTAAAAAAACATAATATGAGACTAATACCCAGAGACTGTAGAAAGGGCTAGGAGAACTAGTTCATGTTTAGAAGCTTGCCACAAAGCAGAAGGGGGACTACAGTTAGGAACTATGACAATGATGGTTGGAAATGATCACTTTGAACAAGAGTTGAGTGCTGAAAGCCAGTAAAATGATATACATGATAACCTTTCAGCACCTTTATTGCAAACCACAGTGCATGAAAGGAGAGAGGGGTTGGGGGAGGAAAGGAGAAGAACTAGGCTGGGAGGGAAATTGGGGGTCACTGTAGGTGAGAAATGTACACTGGTGAAGGGTTGGGTATTAGAACATTGTATGATTGAAACCCAATCATGAACAACTTTGTAACTGTATATCTCATGGTGATTCAATGAAAAAGGGGGTTGGTAAGAGTGAAGATCTTATCTGCTGAACACCCTGATATTAATACCTTCCTGGAGTAACTCAGAGCATTGCTTGACCCAGTACAACTTGAGAAACATTCCTGAGGAAGATCTGATGTGGTGATCCTTCAGCGACACACTTCTTAGAAAAACATGAGCCAGCCTCTGGGGAATAGGGAACAGGATGCTCTTCATCTCAGAGTTTTGCACCTCTGCATTCTTCTAAATGTATTTAATTGCAAACACTTTTGCTTTGTTGTCTGCAGCCTCAATGGTGCCCCATCGGAAGAGTGACTTTTCCAAGGTTGTAATCAGTGCCCTCTTGACAGGGGCTTGTGTGTCCCTTATTAGTGCTTGTATGGCAGGTAAGTGACTCAGGTGGTCTCCTGACGAAAGTGACAGCTTGATATTAATAAGGTTTCTCTCAGAATATTGGCCTAATATGTGTCTCACAGAAAACGCTCCTGTCTTGCATCTAAAGAATTAAGAGTATTTCTCTCTTTATTATCCAGGAGTTCTCTATGTCCCCAGAGGAGCTGAAACTGACTGTGTCTCCTTCCTAATTACAACTTTCTCCAATAAAACCTATGAGAGCTATGTGTGCTGCCAAGAACTCTTTCAGAGGTGAGTGCTGGGATCCCTGATTCTCCATATGATACTCCACACTCCACTCAGGAATCTTTTGAAGCAGGGAGAAACCTTGAGGCCAGTCCTCTGAATGCTGAGGATAAGATAAAGGAGATGCACATGCTTGAAGGTTGTTATTTTCTTTTATAAAGTCCCCAGTAGCTCGTTGTGATTGTATTTTCTTTTATAACATGCACCCTCAGTATTAGCTCTAGTACAGACAAGTGACATATTATACTTATGTTTGTGGAATACTGATAAGTACAGGGAATGGGAAGAAGGAAGGTGTGGTGGTTTCTCTGATAAAAGTTGCTTATTTATTGTGATTGAAATCTAGATAAGTTTTAAGTGACCATATATAGTCACTTAGTTTTCAATAAAGGAGCCAAGAGTATACTATGATGGAAAGAGTGTTCTCTTAAATAAATGATTCTGGGAATACTATCAATGTGTAAAAAAATAAAGTTAGACAGTGACTTACATCACAAATAAAAATTAACTCATGTGGATTAAATACTGATTATAAGACCTGAAAGCTTAAAAATACTATAAAGAAACATAAGGGATAAGCTCCTTGCCATGGGTCTGGACAATAATTTTTTTTGTATTGATACTCAAAATAAAAATAAACAAGTGGGACTTTGTAAACTTAAAATCTTCTGCACAGAAAAGGAAACAGTCAACAAAATGAAAAGTCAGCATACACAATAGAAGAGGTCTAATAATGGGTTAGTATGCAAAACATGAGGACTTTATATAATTCAACAGTAAAACTAAGCAAACAGAAACTACCTATCAATCCAATTAAAAATAGACAGAGGCCAGAGTGATAGTACAGTGGTAGGGCATTTGCCTTGCATGTGGCCAACTCAGATTTGATGCCCACCATCCCATATCACTCCCAGCACTTCCAGGAGTAATTCCTGAGTACAGATACAGGAGTAACCCCTGAGCATCACTGGATGTGACAAAAAAAAAAAAAGAAAAAAAGCAAAAACCCCCACCAAAAAAGCAAAACCTAAAAATGAACAGAGGAATCGAGCAGACATTTTGCTAAAGCATCCAAATGTCCATAAGGTTATGGAAAGGTGCCCAATACACCTGATACATCAGGATATGCAAATGAATTCATAAAGATATGTCACCTTCCACTTGTTAGAATGGATGTCATCAGAAAAACAAGGGATACAATGGCTAGTTGGGATGTAAAGGAAAGGAAGCCTCAATACACGGAGGACATTTAAAATAGAACTACCTTATTCACCAGCAATCCCACTCCTGCTTGTATAAAGGCCCTCCCGTTGTTCGTCGATTTGCTCGAGCGGGCCCAGTAACGTCTCCATTGGAGATTTTGTTGTTACTGTGTTTGTTGGAGTGATAGCACAGCAGTAGGGCGTTTGCCTTGCACGCAGCCAGCATGGCTGACCTGAGTTCGATTCTTCCGCCCCTCTCGGAGAGCCCCGCAAAATACCAAGAGTATCTCGCCCACACGGCAGAGCCTGGCAAGCCACCTGCTTGTATAACCAAGGAAAAAAAATCATTCTCTGTGTACCATGTTGATTGTAGCATTAGCCATAGTAGCCAAAGTATGGAAACAGCTAACATGTCTGCTGACAGAAAATCACATAAAGAATTATATATGATGGAATTATATATAATTATATATGATGGGATATTATTGATTCATTTTTTTTATTAGTGAAACACCATGAGGTACAGTTGTAGACTTACAAAATTTCGTGCTTGGGCTTCAGTTATACAATGATCAAGTACCCAATCCTCCACCATTGCCCATTCTCCACCATCAGTAAAATCCCAGTAGCCCTCCCACCCCCCACCCCATCGCCCTCCACCCTGCCCTGCCTTTGTGGAAGGGCATTCCCTTTTGCTCTCTCTTTCCTTTAGGGTGTCATGGTTTGCAATAGAGGTATTGAGTGGCCATCATGTTCAGTCTATAGTCTACTTTCAGCACGCATCTCACATCCCAAGTGAATCCTCAAAACATCCTTTACTTGGTGTTCCCTTCTCTATCTGAGCTGCCTTTTCTTCCAGAATGTGCTGCTGGCTTCCAAGCCATAGAGAAGACCTTCTGGTACTTATCTCAACTATTCTTGGATGTTTGTCTCCCATTCTGTTACTTTATATTCCCCAGATGAGTGCAGTCTTTCCATGTCTGTCCCTCTCTTTCTGACTCATTTCACTTAGTATGATACTTTCCACGTAGAACCACTTATTTGTAAATTTCATGACTTCATCTTTACTAACAGCTGCATAGTATTCCATTGTGTAGATGTACCAAAGTTTCTTTAACCAATCATCTGTTCTCAGGCATTCGGGTTTCTTCCAAATTTTGGCTATTGTGAACATTGCAGCAATGAACATACAAGTGCAGATGTCATTTCGACTGTACTTTTTTTGACTCTCCAGGATATATTTCCAGGAGTGGTATTGATGGGTCAAGTGGGAGCTCAATTTCTATTTTTTTTTAATGTAGGAGTACTGCTATTTGTTCAGCCACTGATTAGCTGATTGAATTGAGCATGAACTCCACCTTACTTTTTTTTTCATTTTTTATAATTTTATTTATTGAATCACCATGAGAGCAGTTACAAAGCTTTTGGGTTTAAGTCTCGGTCATACAATGAAACACCCGTCCCTTCACCAATCCCATTCTACACGACCCCAAACCCCAGTATACTCCCACCCTACACCCTTCCCCTATCTGTGGGGCAGTTGATTTCCACATTACTCTCTCTCTACTTTGATTACATTCAATATTTTGACACCAGACCCACCATTATTATTTGGGACTTTACCCCAACACTCAGATCTGCTGAAAAGGCAACAGTAGTCAAGTTGTTTTCTATAGCTAGTTATGAATAACATATGATGTCGTGTGGCTGCTGTAATGGCCTCAGGATTTTGAAATTCCGAAATTTTAACACTTAAATCTGGAGGGATTTCTCCCAAAACCTTCTGGGTTATGAGATTTGTTCCTGAATCTCTTGGATCATGGCCATTAAGCAGCTTGATCAGGAACCAGAAAGGCGTTAGTGGGCGGTGACTCGGGATCTTGTTGGGACGAGGAGGAAAGGACCGGGTCTGCCCCCATCCTGTGAGGTCCCGCATGTCTCGTCACTGCTGGCCGAAATCTTTGTCCAGTGGCCTCTGGCAGATGGCGGCCACTGAGCCGCCAAGGGGGAGCAGGCTGAGGGACAGCACCCTTTCCCCCCTGGTGTGGCCTGGGAACAGTAACCTATTGCACTGTCCGAATGCATTTCTGCCAAAAGTTGCTGGGTTTTGAGATTTGTTTCTGTGTTTCTGGGATCATGACCATTAAACAGCTTGATCAGGAGCCAGAGAGGCTGTTTGTGGGCAGCAACTCGGCACCTCATTGGGACGGGGAGGAAAGGGCCAGCTCCACCCCCATCCCATGAGGCCCCACGTGTCTCGTCACTGTGGGCCCAAACCTGACTGTCCAGTGGCCTCTGGAGGATGGTGGCCACTGGGCCGCCAGGGGGAACAGGCTAGGGATGAAACCTATTGCCACCTGGGGTGGCCCAGCGCTTATAACTTACTGCAGGGACTGGACGTGTTTCTTCCAAAAGCTGTTAGGTTTTGAGATGTGTTACCTGAGTCTCTGGGATCATGGCCATTAAGCAGTTTGATCAGGAACCAGAGAGGCCATGTCTCTAATTATATAGCTGAGCTGGAGGTTGTATGTGGGTGTGTCTCCCACATACCTAACTTTTGGCCATTTACTTTCTTGGTAAACTTTGCCCCAAGTTTTTGGGGTCTGGCCAAAGGCACAGCAGCAATTTTGGGGTATCTGGAAGTCTGAAGGCGCCATCAGGCTGCTGATGCACTTGCCTCACAGGTACAGATTGACCTGCTGGTGGCACCATTCTAATTTTTTGAGAATTGTCCATACTGTTTTCCAAAAGGGAAATTTCTAATTTTTTGAGAATCGTCCATACTGTTTTACATAAGGGTTGAACCAATCGGCATTCCCACCAGCAGTGAAGGAGGGTCCCTTTCTCGCTACATCCGCGCCAAAACCGGTTGTTTTTGTTCATTTGGATGTGGGCCAGTCTCTGTGGTGTGAGATAATATCTCATGGTTATTTTGATCTGCATCTCCCTGATGATTATTGATGTAGAGCATTTTCTCATGTGCCTTTTAGCCATTCGAATTTCTTCTTTGAGAAAGTTTCTGTACATTTCATCACCCCATTTTTTGTTGGGGTTGGATTTTTTTTCTTGTGGAGTTCAACCAGTGCTTTGTGTATCCTTGATACCAACCCCTTATCGGATGGGTATTGGGTGAATATCCTTTCCCATTCTGTAGACTGTCTTTGTATTTTGGTCACTGTTTCTTTTGAGGTGCAGAAGCTTCTTAGTTCAAGATAGTCCCATTTGTCTATTTCTGTTTTCCCTTACTTGGCCAGTGGCATGTCATCTTTGAAGATACCATTAGGTTCAATGTCATGGAGGGTTTTGCCAACCTTGTCTTCAAGGTACCTTATGGATTCCGATCTGATGTTGAGGTCTTTAATCCATTTTGATCTTACTTTTGTGCATGGTGTTAGGTAGAGATCTGAGCCCATTTTATTTTGCATATAGCTGTCCAGTTTTGCCAGCACAATTTGTTAAAGAGGTTTTCCTTGCTCCACTTCACATTTCTTGCTCCCTCATCAAAGATTAGCTGATCATATATTGGAGGAGGTGTCAGTATATTCAACCCTGTTCCATTGTTCTGCAGCTCTGCCTTTGTTCCGGTACCATGCTGTTTTAATTATTACTGCTTTGTAGTGAAATTTGAGGTTGAGGAGGTTGATTCCTCCCATTTTCTTTTTCCCAAGAATTGCTTCAGCTATTCCATATGAATTTCAGGAGTGTTTCTCCATTTCTTTGAAGAATATCATGGGTATCCTTATAGGAATCGCATTGAATATGTACAATGATTTGGGAAGTATTGCCATTTTGACAATCTTAGTT